AGTAAGTCCCTTGCTCTCCAGCTAACTTTTTTAACTGCGGAGCTTCTAAGAGGGGTGTTTCATCTACTGTTGTTGCAATAACCAGTAAGCGGGTATCCATGACAAAACCCAAGGGCACTGCCCTACAGCAATGAAGTCTGAGCTAAGCAGCAGCAGAAACCAAAAAAGGTCAGAGCTCCACAGTAGCCCTGCTCCATTTTAAAAATAAAGCCCATCAGTTTCGTAAAAAATGAGGGAGATTCTTCAATGGCTTTCAGATCAGACCTGGGATGTCTCAACACAATTCTCCCAAAGACACCAGGGGAAGAAAGGGAAATGCTCAGATGAGTATGCAAGGACAGCACCACAGAGCTTCGCTGACATTCATGCTACCCCTCGCTGCCAAGGGCGGGACAAGAACAGAAAAGACTTTGCGGCTTTGCAGAGGGCAAGAAACAGGGTTAACTTTTCCCCTGCAATGAATTTGCTACTCTTTTCCTGTTCTTGTGCTCCCAGAGGTACAACTCCCTCTGCCATAATTTGTTTTTCTTCCTTTAGACAGGGACAATTTCTATGAGGTTCTGTACCTGGGTGGTCTTGCAGTGCCGCCTCTTTAAGATTTTCAATGGAATCCAGGACACTTGGTTTGGTGATCTGCAGCTGCTCCATTTCACATCTTGGATAATGCTGCTGAAGTCCACCAGAAGGAGCCTTTGTGTATCAGTTTTGCATAAGCCTCAAGGAATATATTAACGTGTAAGTAAAAAGCCAGTGAGTTCTCTTAACTATGTTGAATTACCACAAAATTAATTTTCCCAATAGGATGCTCTGGATTTGCAATACAAATCCTATACATTAAGAACGTGGATGGTTGTACACTACTGCTAAAGATGACGTTTCTCCAAGCTCCTCATTGATTGACCAGTGTAGTTTTATTTCTTAATAAATACAAAGAACTAAATACAGCCCTACAATAGCACTTATCAGATCTGTGTTCCCCTTTTTGCTTGCAGTCTGCTCTTGGATTTGTGCTAAGCATTGTCCAGCGTTCCCTAAGGCACCTTTGTACTTAGAGATACACCTATCTCTGCTGGAGCTCTCTTTGACCAGAGAAACTTGAAACACACTCTTCTCAGGCACTCTTACCATTGTAGTAAAAGCACAGGAAGGTGTCAGCAAACTAGCTCTGCCAAGCTCCTGCAGTTTTGATCTGGTGGCTGGATTTAATCTGTTGGTGTTTTGGGGAGGATGACTGCTTATCCCAAGAACGAGGAAAAAAAATGTAAAAAAAAGTTAATTCACGTAAAGTTGCCTTACTTGCTTTCTCTTCTCTTTCCCGCTGTGTTTGTGGTAACAGCTCATTAAACCCTGTGCTTATAATAGTTGTACCATGAGACAGGAGATTTCATTTCCCGTCCTGCTTTCCAGGGTGTGGCAAAACAAATGCACACTCCCCCCAGCCACGCCAGTGGTACTGTGGGGTTTGCAGTGCTCATTAAGTACAGGTTTAGCCCTAATTTCTTTCTTGTTCTGTTCTGCCTGTAAAAGAACTTCTGTTCCTGCCTCTAGGAAAGAAGAGAAACTGGGATTCCTCCTTTGAGAGATGTGGGGCTCGTGTTTGAAGAGTATGTGATGTTTTTCTCCCCCTGACCAGTGTAAGCATCGAGAACTGAGATACTTCTGGTAGCTTTTGAGAAGTCTGTGAGCCTTGCCTTCTTGCAGAGGAGCCGGAGTCTATTTGGATGATTTGAATCTTTGCCATCATTTGGAGCAGAATGAAGCTCTGTAAAAGGACAGCGACTGAATGCCAACTGGGTTGTCATCAGCTCAGGCTGCCCAGGAAGCAGCTGATGTGCAGTTTGTGGTGGAAGTCATGCAGACAGAAGGGGTATGACTCAGTGGTGGAGAGGCCCCGGCCTCTGGCTGTATTCCGACCCCAAAGGTGTATTCTGGGCTTGCTGTTGGGAAGGACCAGGGACAGCTAATGGCTGCATATACACACATCACTGCATAAAACAACACAAAGACTCCGAGGATTCCCACGTGACTGTCCCTTTTGCAGAAGGCTGTTAATGTTGCAGTGATGTTGGGTGCTGCTGGCCCAGCTCCATCTTTCTTCCACATTAATCAATGGAAACGTGTCCTAGTCTTGAAGTCTGGTGCTTTAGGAATGAAAAGCTTAATGGCTTTCCTTGGCTTTTTTTTTTCTTTTATGAAGCATAGGGTGTTTAGAACTATGGAAGCAGTGCAAGAAAAATATTAATGAATAACTATGGAGTGCAGACATTAATGCATTCCTTTCTCTTGAAATAACTGGCTTTTCTCTGTGGGCTCCGTAAAAGAAAAATGTCTCCAGAGTCTGAACCTGCTGTATAGAAGCCAAAGTAGATGGTGATTTAGAACTTCACTGGCTTTTTTGCTAAAATGTTACCTCTGCATTTATCATGTGGCAAAAAATCTCTCTTTCTTTGCAAAATGATGACCCTGTAGAGGCAAGATAAACCGAAGGCACAGGGGCAGTTCTTGAGGTTCTGGCTGATGAGTATCTGGGTGATGGAAACTGAATGGAAAATGCTTTCTAGGACCCCCTCCCACACCCCAGACCCTAACCGATGTTGGAGCAGGGGGCATTAAAGCATTGCAAGCACTCCACCATTGGAGTGTTTTCCAAGGGTGCATTTTGAGGAACCGAGTAGCTTTTCTCCTTTTGTTTTCCTGCAGTTATGAATGGAGGAGAACATGAAATGGATATGGGGCTGCACTACAGTAACTAAACTCCCAGCTTTGAATCGCACCTTTCCTAGGTCAGGCCTGAAAACTGCAGGTCAGATCAAAGGCAGTGGTGTTTCACAGCCTTGCTTGTAGAAGCTGCCCATCCTTAGAGGGAACACTGGACACTTTTAAGATTCAGCTGGACAGGGTGCTGAGCCATCTTGTCTAGACCGTGCTTTTGCCAAGAAAGGTTGGACCAGATGATCCTTGAGGTCCCTTCCAACCTGCTATTCTATGATTTTATGAAAATGCAAAAGCGGGACAGTGGAGAGGAACCCCATTGCTGACCACCAGTGGAAATGGGAATAATGCATCCCTGTCTGTGCCACAGAGGCAGGCTGCACCGATAGATGTTGTCCCTGTGTCCAGTGGAGAAGCAGGAAGCTTAGGAACCTGCTTAAGAAAGATACTTTTGGATCTCTGTTCAGTTTCTAAACCCCTGGCTGTTCCTCCTTCTTGACTTGGTTCAAGACCATCCCTTCCTCCTGCCTTGGCTTCCTAACATGCTTTTGCTACCTGGCGTGCCACAAAGGCTGGCAAACTGCTTGATGGCTTTGTCCCTGTGTCCGAACCTGCCAGGGATTAAACGCTTGCGGTTGAGATCATTACGCAATTGAAAAGAGAGAAGGAGGGATGAAAAAAACCCCTCTCTCGAGGCGGTTTTCTTTGGCGGGCTCCCGCAGGAGCAGTCCCCTCGCCTTCCCCCACCCGCTTCCCCCCGGGCCCGCGGGGGTTGTAGCTGCTCCCCG